ATTTGGAGGACAACCCCCCTGGCCCGTATCCCTTGTTTTACACCCCCCCTGCTGTAAAGCTGGGATTTGGGATGGTGGGAACCCATCTGCACAGCAGCTGCTGCTAGGCTGGGGGGAGTGCAGCCTGGGGCAGGATCTCAATTTCTCCCCTTTCCCACCTGGATTTCTCCCTGTGCAGCTGGATTTCTGGCTGGCCCCCCGTGGCCTCGGCTCTCCCGTGGATATCCGGGTGCCCTTCCCGAGCCTGCAGCCCGTCAAAGCCCACCTGGAGGCCAGTGGGGTGTCCTACTCCATCATGATCGAGGACGTGCAGGTCAGTGGAGGAGGAGGGCAGCTGGCTGAGACTCAGGGTCTCATCCCGGTGGGAATTAGGGCCCATCCTACCCTGTTTCCCCCAGGAACTGCTGGATGAGGAGCAGAGGGAGATGATCCGGAGCAGCCGCCGGCTGCCGCTCTCCACCAGCACCTTCAACTACGAGGCCTATCACACCCTGGACGAGGTGAGAGACACAAGATTCGGGGCATTTTGAGGGGGGGAAAAAGTGACATCCTGGAATTGTTTGAGAACCTACCCCCCCCTCCTCATCCCTCTCTCCCAGATTTACGCCTTCATGGACATGCTGGTGGCCGAGAACCCCAACCTGGTGAGCAAACTGGAGATCGGCCGCTCCACCGAGGACCGGCCCCTCTACGTGCTCAAGGTGAGGGGTTTGGGGTCTGGGGGGGTGACCGGGGAGGGGGGAGCGGGGTCAGGGAGAAAGGACAAAGCCAACTCCCCCCTCTCTGCTGTCCCAGTTCAGCACAGGGGGCTCGAACCGCCCGGCCGTGTGGATCGACACCGGGATCCACTCCCGCGAGTGGGTGACTCAGGCCAGCGGGGTCTGGTTCGCCAAGAAGGTTTGGACACTTTCCCCACACCCACCTTCTGTCCCCCAAAGGTCCTGCAGCCGCTGTGGGAGCCAGGGGGTGACCCCCAGGGAGCCCCCAAACCTCCTGTCCTTTGTAGATCGTCGATGACCACGCGAACAACGAAGGGGTGGCCTCCATCCTGGACACCATGGACATCTTCCTGGAGATCGTCACCAACCCCGATGGCTTTGCCTACACCCACAGCACGGTACCAACCCCAGCTCCCCCTCCCTGATTCCTACAGGGTGGGAAGGGGAGCAGCACTGGGAGCTGCTCATCCCTGGGAGGTCAAAGCCTCCTTGTCCATGTTTCCATGGGATGGGAAAGGGGAGCAGCACTGAGGTGCTGCACACCCCTGGGAAATCAAAGCCTCCTTGTCCATGTTTCCACGGGATGGGAAGGGGAGCAGGACTGGGGTCTTGCACATCCTTGGGAGGTCAGAGCTCCTTGTCCCTGTTTCCACGGGATGGGAAGGGGAGCAGGACTGGGGTTCTGAACATCCCTGGGAGGTCAGAGATCCTCATCCCCATTCCCATGGGATGGGAAGGGGAGCAGGACTGGGGTTCTGAACATCCTTGGGAGGTCAGAGCTCCTTGTCCCCATTCCCAAGGAATGGGAAGGGGAGCAGGACTGGGGTGTTGCTCCTCCCTGGGGGGGTCAGAGCCTCCCTGTCCCATTCCCATGGGATGGGAAGGGGAGCAGCACTGAGGTGCTGCACATCCCTGGGAGGTCAGAGCCTCCTTGTCCCCATTCCCATGGAATGGGAAGGGGAGCAGGACTGGGGTTCTGAACATCCCTGGGAGGTCAGAGCTCCTTGT